TGATTTTCTTTGTTGTCTTTGAAACGAATGTTTTTTCAGTATTCCTTTTGTCTTTCATTTACTTCTTGTGGCACCGATTTTGGTCTGTTGGTCTGAAATTGTTTAATGTGAGGTTTAAGCATGGCTGCCATTTACTTTAGACTCAAAGTATCATATTCCTCCCATACTACTACTTCATTTCTCACATCAAAATAATTATCTCTGAACTGTTGAAACCATCTTTTGCATCTTGCTTCTGATACAGCATATTTCCATATGCCTCGACCCGCATTTGATGCGACTCTGCTGTAATTTTCTTCAAATGGAAAAAAAATTATGTTTATGATTATTAAATATGTTTGACAGTTGTCATGCATTAGTATCTTAATGCACACTTCCCACCTGGTATTTTGATTAGATCATAAAATAAAATAAAAATTGTTGTAAATTCTTATAAAATTAAAAACTACTGGTTGCATTGATTTAACTATGACTGTCACTCAATTTGACCTAATGAAATCCTCGTAAGCTTTCACACTCATAATGTTTGAGACGAAAGACATTAGCACATCACATGATGGCTAAGTTTACATAAAAGAAAACTAATTTTTGATATAGCATAGTCTATTTATTATATTTCCTAATTATAATACTTATAAAGGCGATTGTCTTAAAAATATTTGAAATATTTTTGTCAATCACATAATTCAAATTAAATGTTTTGCAATAAATCGAAATATCGTTTTAAAATAGTTTTCGATTAAGTATTTCAATTAAACGTTCAATTTGGCTAAAAAAAACTATCTAAATAAAAATAAAATCGCTTGAACTAACTGCCTGTGTACTCACACATACATACATATGTCGCATTTATGTATGATTTTAACTATCTAATCTAATCTAATATAATCCATGCAAGTATAATATAAATGCAGGAAATATATATATATATATATAACGGTATATATATTACGATCACAATAGGTGCTTTACCATCTCCCAGCCTTATTCTAAAAGCTGCGCTTCAACACAAAGCACCGTCTCTGCATTCTACAAATTACTCCACTTGCCACACTGGCGGTGCGGTCGGTTGCCTGCCACAAGTACTGCTGTTACTAAAGGCCAAGAAATCCGGCACGGTCGTGGACAATTCCGGCACAGAGTCCATTTTGAGTATAATCTTGGCCTGCTGCAGCGAGCAATAGAAGCCACGTAAACGCTGATAAAGCGCATAGAAGCGATTACATAAACCCATCACATCGATGGGCGGCAACTTGCCACAAACGGTGGCCATGGCATTGGACGCCTGATCATATAGAATGCTGCATTCGGCGGCGATGTTGATAAGTGGTTGCAGGCGACACAATGTCTCGGGTGTGACCACAGCGAGCTGTTGCAATGTCAAGCTCGAAAAGATGGATTGTTGCAGCGTAAGCAAATCGTCCAAATAATCGAAGATGTCGGTGCACAACTGAAAACTGAAATTGCAACGAGCGGAGCGATGAAAACACAATTATGACGACTTTCTTTTAATTGCATACTCACCACAGATCCAGGTCCCACTCCTTGGTGATGTCGGCTTCCAGAGCGCCGGTGAAGAATGCATAGTTCTGATGGAAGCTGATTTTGTGCAACAACAATTGCAAATACTCGAGTATGCAACCGCACAGAGCATCCGTATGATAGGCCCAATAATTGCTCAATGCATACAATAATTGTTGTTGTGGCGGCTGCTGCATCAGCTCGAGTATTTGTGGGGTGCCATAGCGCAAGGCCGTGTGCAACAGATTGCAGTATTTCCAAGCAGTGTAGCGATTCATGCGCAGGGGCTGGCTCTGAGTCATCTTCAGGAAAACTTCTGCGCCGTTCGTTCGGTGCGTGAGCAGCACAATGGCGCGGGCGCGTAGCCCATCGAAGGGCTTCTCCTTACCGCTGAGCACTTTGCTCATGTGTTTCTTCTGCGTGGAAAAAAATATTGAAATTTCTATTTTCAGCTAGAAAATTATGCTTTTTGATTGCTTATTACCATTTCAGTGCGTTCTTTGTGCGTGAGCTCCATTTGGAATATATGTATGTATGTACGTTTGTACGTTTGTTTGTATGTGTGTCAATGCTTAATACAATTATTCGAACACAAAACTGTGCCAACTAAACCGAGCGAGTACTAGTGAACGAATGGCGAGCGAATTCACTTATCTCTACTAAAATAGCCGACTATAATTTGTATCTCTACATCTGTATGTTTGTATGTAGGTATGTAGGTATGTATGAATGTATGTGGTATGTATAGATCCGCTCTGTTTATATTGTATGCAGAGTAGAATGTCTATTAGTAATTTTCGATTAAGTGCGATTTTTATTTGACTGGTTCACACATTTTACAGGGTGATTAGTTAAATCTTAAAAATCGGTCCACAATAAGTTTTTCTATAATAT